ACAATTTTTATTATTCTGGTATCATGTTGCGGAATAAATTAGATTTGTCTAACCATTTGTTCCGCACATTTACAGATTAACTTTCCTTAAAACATCAAGTATCCATAAAAACATAAAGTGTACAAATATTTATAAAAACACACTGAGATGTTATCACAATATATCTATAATGATAGTTTCGATAGTTATTACATTAGAGCTGATAAGTGTACGGAATTGATCAATACGGGTAGTATGTGCTTTTCTCCCATCCATTAGCACATGAGTGATAAAAATGAATCCAATTAGTTACTTTCGAAAGTACTAGATGACTAGGAAACAGATAAATCTAACAAACCATTAACAATGCACTACTAGTCTTACTGTAATAAATAGAAGCATAATCATTCAAAGTATAAAAAAAAAAAAAAAACAAAGCACTACAAGAAAAAGCACCTTTGGTGGCTAAATTTTTAGTCGCCAAAAGTCCATTTTTAGCCCCAAAAGTCGACTTTTTAGCGATATTTTTACCATCTGAAACCTGTTTGGTTACCATTTCGTTTTCAATTTTTAATTTATATTTACAAAAATTAAAAAAAACTGTCATAAAAACTTGTTTGATAATTTTTTTGGTATATAAATGGTTTTCTCAATTTGTAAATTTGAGGAAAAAACGAAAATTCAAAAAATGAGTTTACGTTGGTTTTAAACAGAAATTTAAAAATTTTACTAACAAAATTTTTTTTCAAATAATTTTTTTTTCAATTAATTTTTTTTTCAAATAAATTTTTTCCCAATTAATTTTTTTTTCAATGAATTTTTTTTTCCAACTAATACTAACGGAGGGAGCAATTGGTAATGCTACTTCAAACCTTAGGGAGGTGATGGTAATTTCTAAAATGTGAGGGGTGTTAAAGTAATTTACCTAGTGAGGGCAAAATTGGTATTTAAAAAATTAAATTGCTGAGGGAGGAATCTGTAATGAAACTTTAAACCTCAGGAAGGGATATGTAATTTCCAAAACGCGAGGGGGGAAACTGTAATAAATATAAACCTCAGGGGGTGTCAATGTAATTTACCCTAATGTTTTTATTGAATAGATTTGAATAAATTTGTATATATGTGTTTGTTTTTATGCTCTGTAAAAATATTTTTGTGTTTTGTTTGCATACAATCTGTTTAATTCTCTCTCTCTCTTTCTCTCTCTCTCTCTTTTTCTCTCTCTCTCTCTCTATATATATATATGGCTAATGTTCGTTCATTCAAAAAATTAAATAGATAAAAATAGGTGTCAGCATATAAGAAAAATTAGCATAAGAATTTCAACAAATAAGAAAAATCAACACAAGAATTTCAACAGATTGAAAAAATTAAAGAGAGAAGCCTATAGAATTTAAACAGATAGAGAAAATAATTTAACAGATAAGGAAAAAAATTCAATAGATAGATATAAATTTGAAAAGACAGTCAAACAAATTTGAAATATATATATAAATTTGAATAGTCAAAAAAAGTTAATAGATAAAAAAAATAAAAAAAACAAAATAAAAAAAAAGAAAAGAAGAAGAAGTCAACAAATAAATGTAAGGGTAAAATTGAAAACATAAAGTCTTTCAAAATAAACAAAATGACTGCTCACTAAATTATTTCAGAAAAGGTAAATCTCTCACAAATAAAAAATATTCAATGAACCTAATTTCTAGTACGGTTTTAGTGACTATAAAATCACTCCCATTCTGGGTTTGACGTCTTTCATTGAGGTTTGTCCTTAGAACAATTCAATTCAAACTTGTCATGGTTTATTATGTATTGCTAAGCAAATATAAACATCTCCTTTTGTTTTGTTTATATGGTTCGCATCGCATTTGTTTGTGCAGTGCTGATCATGCTGATCACCTTACCATCCTAGTACGGTGTTGTGCTACAATCGTGTGCTTCTATAATAAAATTTAAAGAATGAATGTATATTTTGAAAAATGCTATATCTCAATGAATTTTGTGACTATTTTGCATCACTTTTTTACATAGATATTTATGATTGGTTCTTTCATAGTTCAACTTGTCAGTCCCTTGCAAGCCAGAAACCACATGTGGGAGATCCAACACAGTGCACTTCAAGTTTGGGAAAGCATCAGCAATGGCCTTTGCCACTGTGCCCGTGCTACCTCCAACATCAACCAACGAGTGCAAGCCCTCAAAAACCCCCTTACAGTCCTTAACAAGCACCTTTGTGACTAACCGGGCATCACTAGCCATTGCTTCATTCAAGAAATGGTTCAGCCTTGGTTCATGTCGTCCATATTCCCAAAGCGTCCTCCCATGAGCTGTGTCAAACGGCGTGGGATTGCCATTTTGGAACCATTCACTCACACGATGCCACGGCTTTGTCAAGATTGGATCTAACATGGCCAACAAAAATGGTGTGACGCTCAATGGCTCATCTTTCAGTAGGAGCTGAGAGCCCGGTGTGAGCAAATAGCCGTCTTGTTCTTCCTTCGCATTTTTGGAGAGCTTCTCCTCAGTAAAGAAGCCGGAATGCACGAGGATGCGCATGAGGCGGTAGATGTTAAAACCTACCAAAACCTACCACTACACCTACTCCACCCACTTCACCTACTCCACCTACTACTACACCTACCTCCTTTAATCATAACATTACATCAATCAATAATAATACATACAATTTATTCTCTCTCTTTCTCTATACATTATTTCTTACATGGTATCAGAGCGATAAGATTTAAGCCTGTATTTCTTTGTCACCGGCGGGCAGCCGGCCGGCAACTTTGCCTTTGCTGCCCGCTGGAATTTTCTACACATACCTTCCACTCTCCGCAGCGTCTTCCATATCTCTCTCTCCTTCCACACAGATCACACACCTGAAGACACTCAACACACTCACAAACAGACAAGTGATCACAGAATCAACGGTGGAGGTGATATGGACTCAGCGCCACCGCTAACTTCGGAGCTACCCCAGAAACTACGTCAATCGCCGCCACCGCCAGCAGTGGCATTGAAGGAGGAGCCACCCGCGGAATTTGGGATGTTACCGGCGGCTGCGATGCCCCTGCCGTTGCAGATCAGACCATCTGCAGCGGCGCCTCCCAAGGACCGCCACACCAAGGTGGAGGGCCGAGGGCGGAGAATCCGAATCCCGGCCACCTGCGCCGCCCGGATCTTCCAACTAACCCGAGAACTCCGCCACAAGTCCGACGGCGAGACCATCCGGTGGTTGCTGGAACACGCCGAGCCTTCCATCATCTCTGCCACTGGCACCGGCACTGTCCCCGCCATCGCCATGTCCGTCGGCGGAACCCTCCAGATCCCCACCACCTCCGCAGGAAGAACCCTCCAGATTCACACACACGGTTTAGAGACAGAGAGAGCATTACACCCAACACACCATTCATGCACACACAGTTTAAAGAGAGAGAGCCCACACACAACACACACACGGTTTAGAGAGCGAGAGGACACACACTTCACACCACCAACTTCATCTTCTCACACACGGCTATCACAGAGCTAAACAGACCCAACATCATCATCATGTACCCCACTCTCTCTCTCTCTCTCTCATTTTTTTCACTTTCCAACCCAGAGCGCACATGCTTTCCCCATTAATATATTATTATTATTATTAACAAAAAAAAAACAAAAAAAACAAACAACCCAAAAATATTTACAAATTTGCACAACAAACCATATTTTATTCATCTCAGAGATTCACCCCGATCCACATTTTACACCACAACCAAAAAAAAAAAAAAAAAAAACCACACAAGATCACCATCACAACAACAACAGATTTGTTTTCTTTTCTGCAGACGGCCACCCACCGACCTACTCTGCCGCCGGTCTCTTCTTTTTGCCTCCGTCATGGGCGGTCCTTGACGGTGCTGCCTCTGTGCTTCCTAATCCACCAAGCACATTCACTCCCCCTGCTCCTCCACTGCAGCATATGGCGGACTTCCAAATCGGAACATCACGGTGGCCTTCCGCTTCAGCTCCTTATTTTCCGCCTTTAGCACACTTATCTCTGCTCGCGCATCCTTATACATGCGCTGGAGCAAAGCCAGTTGGGCGTTTAACTGTTGCACCTCATTTGTCCTACTCTGATGCCCGTGCGACAAGTTTGTGACCGCAGTCATGGTCTCCACACATGACTTCAATGTATACTGATTGGCCTCAATATCCGTTTGCACGGCCATTTTTTGCTCCACAGACCGCATCGGAAAGTTCAACGGAGCAAAACCAGAGGTGTTTGGTTGAGGTTCACGGGCCACCGCACCAGTTATCTCTCTTGTTGACTCGTTGAGGTCTGGAAAGAGAGTGAGCAGACCACGAGAAGACGAGGCCATTTTTCTGGGCTACAGAGTGTTACAAAGTTTCTCTCTCCGAAAACGCAGAGTTTTTCAGAGAAGGGTTGGATCCAGAGTATTTTCAGAGTGTTTCAGTCTGACAATGTTCAGAGGTTTCAGCCTGGTTTGGTTTCCACAACCTCCGCATTGGTTTATATCGACACTGACGACGCGGCCGACACGCCGCTCTGTCGCTCACGTGCCTCGCCGCGTCTCCGGCTCACCTTTTGATGGCTCGACGCTTTCTGTCGGGCACGACTTTTGATGGCTCCGCTCGACGCCTTTTGACGGCGCGACTTTTGAGGGCTCGATATATATATATATCCATGTATATTTATATTTGGGCAGCCTATATACACCATCCTACAGTGTATTTTCCAACGGTCCGACATGACCCCATAAACTGTCCCGACATTGATTCCGGTTAGCTTCTCCATCGGTCCGGTGTGACCTTGTAAACTGTCCCGACATTGATTCCGGTTAGCTCCTTCATGGGTCCGACAAGACTCTGTAAACTGTCCCGACATTGATTCCGGTTAGCTCCTTCATGGGTCCGACAAGACTCTGTAAACTGTCCCGACATTGATTCCGGTTAGCTTTTTTTTTTTTTTTCTCAACTCACATAATATAATGCTTCAAGCAATCAAACTGGATTAGATTTTTGTTCTGTTGAAGTTTTTTCTCTCTCTTAATCAAAAGAACCTTTAATGTAAGATTACAAGATTTATGTAGTAGGCATTGAAGTGTTGTGATCAACGCATCTAAAAAATTGATTGGTCTAATATCACATTGTAGTCACTACAATAAATGAAGATTTTAGAAATAAAAATTTAAAGACAAAATCAACTTGTAAGAAGTGTCATTATTGTACTTTTAGCAACAAAATTTAGAAATTAATGATGAGTTATTATTCTTTTGGGACTAATATTTTTTGAATAAAAAATAAACGCTTTTGGAATCAATTTTTTTTGTTCCTACAATACATTTATTAGCGATATTTTTAAAATTGTGTCACTAAAGCCCTGTGTTTGACATTTTTAGACGATCTTTTAGCAACTGTTCTTGTAAAAACAAGAATTCTTCCCTAAACATCTTTTGCAACAAAATTTTTACTCCGAAGGACAAAAAAAAGTTTAATTACTAAAACTCTTATATGTTATAGTGATGTTATTGACCACCAACTCATTTAAAGATTTAAGTTGTTAGAAAGATAGTAATTTTATTGGTTACATAATGTTATATTCTCAACAGTTATAAGGACTTCTCTTCTCAATTTAGACTCTATTTTAATTTTACATTTTAGTAGGAATTTATACCCAAAATAATATACATTGAAGATAAAGGGTAGGATAGAAAGTGAGTTTTCACTTCTATATGTAAGGAGCCTAAACCAAGCACCCAGTAGTGAATAATTCTATATATACTAAAACTTTTATTAAAAAATATGAGAGATTAAATAAAATTTATTGTCAAAAAAATAATAATACTTGAACATCTAATGATGTTTAGACATATACCTTTAGCAAGAATTTTAGGACACACAACATTGTTCCCCAGTAATAAAGAGTGGGGTAGAGAACTTGTTTCAAATGAATTTTCAAATGAATTTTGAAATTCTGACTCTCTCTTCTTACGTAAGAAGGCAAAAATAGAAAGGTTATTGAAGATGTTATACTTGTCAAGCACAATTTTTGTAAGCATCAATTTTCGAAGGAAAAATGATATAAAAGCTTATTTTTTAGACTTAGTGATATGTAAGAGATATGATTAGTTAATGATTAGAAATTTTTTTAGATAAAGTGTTGTCTTAGATATTTAAATTTATTGTCATGTCATTGAGTTTAAAAAATTGAACCATCATTTGGATTAGAATAACAGTGCTCCTTTGGAAGGGCAATTACTAGTTTTTTGCACATTAAATTGTGATTATAAAAGACGAGTCTAGCTCCTCTCCAGTTCACAATCGAAGTGGAGGGTGCAATTGGACCATGGTGGGCTCAAATCCTGGCCCATTTCGATGATCAAAATCATTCAATGTGTAAAACTCATCAAGTACATTATTCTTGTAAAAACTTAACTTGATTGGATATCGATAACCATTTGATCAGATCACATTTTTATCCACATTTTATTTTTAAAATCGTACTTGTCGTTGACTGAAATGTGGTTCAATTAAATGGCTATCGATATTCAATCAATGTGAGTTTTTGGAGGAGTGATATACTCGACAAGTTCTACACATTGAACGGTTTTGATCATCAAGATGAGCTTGGATTTGGGCCCCATTATGGCCGAAGAATACCCTTCAATCTGATTACGAATTGGAGAGGAGCCAGACGCATAAAAGATATAAATGAAAATGGAACTGAAAAATAGAGCAATGCTAATAACACTAATATCTCACATAATATTGTATCTACTTTGTATGTTAATTGGTACACTAGTTAATATTATTTGTAACATTATTAAATAAAACAAAGCCCCCTTCTTCGATTTTATGTTGTTTTTGTTTTTGTCCAAGAATAATTATTAAACATTTGAAAATAGTTTTATTTTTGTAATGCCTTCATTTTCTAATTTTGTTTTCAATTATTATTATGTTCTTTAAAAACCGGAAATGAAAACTTGTTTGATATATTATTTTCGTATTAAAAAAAAAAACAGAGTAGATTTCAAAATTTTTTGAAAAAAGAAAAAGAAAAGTCGTTTTAGTTGTTTTCAAATCAAACTTTCACTCTCCTTGCTCTCTCACTACCTCCATCCATCACCTACCACTATCAGCCGGCCACCGACAACTTTTGTTAGATCGAAAAAAAATTCAACATAAACCAAACTTATTTGGAAGAAAAATATTAACTTTAAACGATGAAAATACATTTTTTTGAACTAAAATCTTAGTAATACCATCACCCCATCATTACTAACCACCATGCCATAGTTGTTGCTATCACCAACTCCATTACCACCACCTTTGCCACTCCAACCATTACTACCTTCACCACTTCTACTAACACCACCTTGCCATCCCCTTCACCACTCGCACCACCACCACCATCACTAACTTGCTACCATCACCACCCCCGCCACACCACCTCCACAATCAGAACCACCACTGCCCCCCCCACCACAATCACCGTAACTACCACCCCACCACCACCACCATGCCACCTCTACCTCCACCACGACTACTAATACAAATACTGGCACATTAGTTTAATTTCAAGGTTGTAGCCAAACATGAAAAAATATTTTTTTTATAATTTTTTTATATAAAAATTAAATTTTCTAAAAAAATGTTTTTTATTAAAAATATCTTCACCTAAACAAACAAAGCGTTACCTTTAGTAAAACTGCATCTGCAGAAGGAATAGCCTCAAACATATCACCCCCAACATAGTTCAACTTGTCAGTCCCTTGCAAGCCAGAAACCACATGTGGGAGATCCAACACAGTGCACTTCAAGTTTGGGAAAGCATCAGCAATGGCCTTTGCCACTGTGCCCGTGCCACCTCCAACATCAACCAACGAGTGCAAGTCCTCAAAAACCCCCTTACAGTCCTTGACAAGCACCTTTGTGACTAACCGGGCATCACTAGCCATTGCTTCATTGAAGAAATGGTTCAGCCTTGGTTCATGTCGCCCATATTCCCAAAGCGTCCTCCCATGAGCTGTGTCAAACGGCGTGGGATCGCCATTTTGGAACCATTCACTCACATGATGCCATGGCTTTGTCAAGATTGGATCTAACATGGCCAACAAAAATGGGGTGACGCTCAATGGCTCATCTTTCAGTAGGAGCCGAGAGGCCGGTGTGAGCAAATAGCCGTCTTGTTCTTCCTTCGCATTTTCGGAGAGCTTCTCCTCAGTAAAGAAGCCGGAATGCACGAGGATGCGCATGAGGCGGTAGACACACTGGGCTTTGGAATGGTTGATTGGAAGAGCTGCAACGAGCTCCGAGAGAGGCATGGCTCGGCCATGTTTGTAGATTATGTCTGGTATGCCTAGTTGAATTGCACATTTTAGTGACATAGAGTTTATGAAGTTGAATATGTGGTTCCATATGTGAGCTTGAGAGTTGAGTAGCTCTATCCGTCGTTCATCATTGGTCATATCCATCTTATTAAGATATGCCTTATTATGCTTCATGTACAACGCAACTCTTGCAAACATTTATATCTATATATAACAACTTCAATAATGTGCATAGCAGCACCATGGGCACATAAAACAAAAAAATGTGTCTCGTGACAGCTATTAAGACAATTAAACGTGTAAGTAAAATTACCCAAAAAAAACGTTTAAGTCTTGAAATGGGTGGACCAACAACAATAATGCAAAGCACTAGAACAACAGTTAATTATGTAATTTACGTAGCAAATGGTCATCTTTTAAATTTATATTGTCGCATTATGCTTCATATGATTCGCGTTTGAAAAATTCTATTTACACTATAATTTTATCTCTTTACACATATTTTATTATTATATTGTCAAGAAATAATTAAAATTCTCATTTTACTCTTTATTATATCAAAATTAACCTTAAATTAAACTCCTTTTAAAATCCTTACAGATTTTTCTCATTGCACCTATTATTTTTGAATTACTCTAGTGTTATGTTACCGAACAAACTATATGTGCCCATTCATATATTGTCACACATTTACAGATTCACTTTTCTTAAAATATTATTTTTTTTTCTTCTAAATTTATGATGGGTCTGATCAGTTATATATTGCCAAACAATTTTTATTATTCTGGTATCATGTTGCGGAATAAATTAGATTTGTCTAACCATTTGTTCCGCACATTTACAGATTAACTTTCCTTAAAACATCAAGTATTCATAAAAACATAAAGTGTACAAATATTTATAAAAACACACTGAGATGTTATCACAATATATCTATAATGATAGTTTCGATAGTTATTACATTAGAGCTGATAAGCGTACGGAATTGATCAATACGGGTAGTATGTGCTTTTCTCCCATCCATTAGCACATGAGTGATAAAAATGAATCCAATTAGTTACTTTCGAAAGTACTAGATGACTAGGAAACAGATAAATCTAACAAACCATTAACAATGCACTACTAGTCTTACTGTAATAAATAGAAGCATAATCATTCAAAGTATAAAAAAAAAAAAAATACAAAAACACAAAAACAAAATTAAAAACAAAAATGTCAAAAAATGAAACTGGAAATGTTTGCAGTGAATTACTGGACATCCACTTTTTATTCAGCAGTGGATTACTAGCTATGTATTTTTTATTCGGTAATATGATTCCGGGCTATTTAATTTTGTTCAGTTTTGACATATTGAACAAAAGCCAAATATTCCTTTTTAAAAATGAAGTGAAAATATAAAAAATAAAGAAAAAAACTCACCATTTCACTTTTTTCTGCTGGTCATTCATTACCATTCTTCATCCATTGATTTCTTTTATAATCAAAACATTGTGATTCTCACTTTTTGAAAGTAAAATGTATAACAGAGAAGAAGAAATGAGAAAACAATGTAATGGATGTAAAGAGATAATCAAATCTACTCAATTTTTATTTTTTGTCCTTAAAGATAATTTCACACATGGATAAAATTATATATATATATATATATATATATATCTCCAATAAAAAATGTAAAGAGATAAATATGTTGTGTAAGTAGAATTTCCCTTCACGCTTTATTGATATACCTGTATGTTTGTGTAAAATCAAACTATACATAATCTAAGAATCTTTTGATAAGTCATTTCTTACATTGGTAACTTATTTAATTATTTATTAATTTTACAATATTTTTACCATCTGAAACCTGTTTGGTTACCATTTCGTTTTCAATTTTTAATTTATATTTACAAAAATTAAAAAAAACTGTCATAAAAAATTGTTTGATAATTTTTTTGGTTTATAAATGGTTATCTCAATTTGTAAATTTGAGGAAAAAACGTAAATTCAAAAAATGAGTTTACGTTAGTTTTAAACAGAAATTTAAAAATTTTACTAACAAAATTTTTTTTCAAATAATTTTTTTTTCAAATAATTTTTTTTTCAAATAAATTTTTTTCCAATTAATTTTTTTTTCAATGAATTTTTTTTCCAACTAATACTAACGGAGGGAGCAATTGGTAATGCTACTTCAAACCTTAGGGAGGTGATGGTAATTTCTAAAATGTGAGGGGTGTTAAAGTAATTTACCTAGTGAGGGCAAAATTGGTATTTAAAAAATTAAATTGCTGAGGGAGGAATCTGTAATGAAACTTTAAACCTCAGGAAGAGAGATGTAATTTCCAAAACGCGAGGGGGAAAACTGTAATAAATATAAACCTCAGGGGGTGTCAATGTAATTTACCCTAATGGTTTTATTAAATAGATTTGAATAAATTTGTATATATGTGTTTGTTTTTGTGCTCTGTAAAAATATTTTTGTGTTTTGTTTGCATACAATCTGTTTAATTCTCTCTCTCTCTTTCTCTCTCTCTCTCTATATATATATATGACTAATGTTCGTTCATTCAAAAAATTAAATAGATAAAAATAGGTGTCAGCATATACGAAAAATTAGCATAAGAATTTCAACAAATAAGAAAAATCAACACAAGAATTTCAACAGATTGAAAAAATTAAAGAGAGAAGCCTATAGAATTTAAACAGATAAAGAAAATAATTTAACAGATAAGGAAAAAAATTCAATAGATAGATATAAATTTGAAAAGACAGTCAAACAAATTTGAAATATATATATAAATTTGAATAGTCAAAAAAAGTTAATAGATAAAAAAAATAAAAAAAAAAGAAGAAGAAGAAGAAGTCAACAAATAAATGTAAGAGTAAAATTGAAAACATAAAGTCTTTCAAAATAAACAAAATGACTGCTCACTAAATTATTTCAGAAAAGGTAAATCTCTCACAAATAAAAAATATTCAGTGAACCTAATTTCTAGTACGGTTTCAGTGACTATAAAATTACTCCCATTCTGGGTTTGACGTCTTTCATTGAGGTTTGTCCTTAGAACAATTCAATTCAAACTTGTCATGGTTTATTATGTATTGCTAAGCAAATATAAACATCTCCTTTTGTTTTGTTTATATGGTTCGCATCGCATGTGTTTGTGCAGTGCTGATCATGCTGATCACCTTACCATCCTAGTACGGTGTTGTGCTACAATCGTGTGCTTCTATAATAAAATTTAAAGAATGAATGTATATTTTGAAAAATGCTATATCTCAATGAATTTTTGTGACTATTTTGCATCACTTTTTTACATAGATATTTATGATTGGTTCCTTCATAGTTCAACTTGTCAGTCCCTTGCAAGCCAGAAACCACATGTGGTGATCCAACACAGTGCACTTCAAGTTTGGGAAAGCATCAGCAATGGCCTTTGCCACTGTGCCCGTGCTACCTCCAACATCAACCAACGAGTGCAAGCCCTCAAAAACCCCCTTGCAGTCCTTAACAAGCACCTTTGTGACTAACCGGGCATCACTAGCCATTGCTTCATTCAAGAAATGGTTCAGCCTTGGTTCATGTCGCCCATATTCCCAAAGCGTCCTCCCATGAGCTGTGTCAAACGGCGTGGGATCGCCATTTTGGAACCATTCACTCACACGATGCCACAGCTTTGTCAAGATTGGATCTAACATGGCCAACAAAAATGGTGTGACGCTCAATGGCTCATCTTTCAGTAGGAGCCGAGAGGCCGGTGTGAGCAAATAGCCGTCTTGTTCTTCCTTCGCATTTTTGGAGAGCTTCTCCTTAATAAAGAAGCCGGAATGCACGAGGATGCGCATGAGGCGGTAGATGTTAAAACCTACCAAAACCTACCACTACACCTACTCCACCCACTTCACCTACTCCACCTACTACTACACCTACCTCCTTTAATCTTCTATATATAGGACTCATTGTAAACATAACATACATCAATCAATAATACATCAATTTTAACATGGTATCAGAGCTATAAGATTTAAGCCTGTATTTCTTTGTCACCGGCGGGCAGCCGGCCGGCAACTTTGCCTTTGCTGCCCGCTGGAATTTTCTACACATACCTTCCACTCTCCACAGCGTCTTCCATATCTCTCTCTCCTTCCACACAGATCACACGCCTGGAGACACTCAACACACTCACAAACAGACAAGTGATCACAGAATCAACGGGGGAGGTGATATGGACTCAGCGCCACCGCTAACTTCGGAGCTACCCCAGAAACTACGTCAATCGCCGCCACCGCCAGCAGTGGCATTGAAGGAGGAGCCACCCGCGGAATTTGGGATGTTACCGGCGGCTGCGATGCCCCTGCCGTTACAGATCAGACCATCTGCAGCGGCGCCTCTCAAGGACCGCCACACCAAGGTGGAGGGTCGAGGGCGGAGAATCCGAATCCTCGCCACCTGCGTCGTCCGGATCTTCCAACTAACCCGAGAACTCCGCCACAAGTCCGACGGCGAGACCATCCGGTGGTTGCTGGAACACGCCGAGCCTTCCATCATCTCTGCCACCGGCACCGGTACTGTCCCCGCCATCGCCATGTCCGTCGGCGGAACCCTCCAGATCCCCACCACCTCCGCAGGAAGAACCCTCCAGATTCACACACACGGTTTAGAGACAGAGAGAGCATTACACCCAACACACCATTCATACACACACAGTTTAAAGAGAGAGAGCCCACACACAACACACACACGGTTTAGAGAGAGAGAGGACACACACTTCACACCACCAACTTCATCTTCTCACACACGGCTATCACAGAGCTAAACAGACCCAACATCATCATCATGTACCCCACTCTCTCTCTCTCTCTCTCATTTTTTTCACTTTCCAACCCAGAGTGCACATGCTTTCCCCATTAATATATTATTATTATTATTAACAAAAAAAAAAACCAAAAAAACAAACAACCCAAAACCATTTACAAATTTGCACAACAAACCATATTTTATTCATCTCAGAGATTCACCCCGATCCACATTTTACACCACAACCAAAAACAAAAAAAAAAACCACACAAGATCACCATCACAACAACAACAGATTTGTTTTCTTTTCTACAGACGGCCACCCACCGACCTACTCTGCCGCCGGTCTCTTCTTTTTGCCTCCGTCCTGGGCGGTCCTTACCGGTGCTGCCTCTGTGCTTCCTAATCCACCAGGCATGATCACTACTCCCTGCTCCTCCACTGCAGCATATGGCGGCCCTCCAAATCGGAAAATCACGGTGGCCTTCCGCTTCAGCTCCTTGTTTTCTGCCCTTAGCAAGCTTATCTCTGCTCGCGCATCCTTATACATGCGTTGGAGCAGAGCCAGCTGGGAGTTTAACTG